GTACTATACCTACATTCATGAAAATTAATATTCAAGTGGTTTCAACCTGCCTGAACAACTTTCAATTAATAAATGAAGTTGATTTCATTTGTTCAAAGTGGAGATATTACGCTCTAAATTAAAGAGAGTTAATATCATCAACAAAAATGCAATTTTCTCTAAGCACTACACCTACATTCATGAAAATTAATATTCAAGTGGTTTCAACCTGCCTGAACAACATTCAATTAACAAAGGAAGTTGATTTCATTTGACTAAAGTGAAGATATCACGCTCTAAATTAGAAAACAGAGAAGAGAGTTAATATCATCAAGAAAAATGCAATTTTCCTTAAGTATTACACCTATATTCATGAAAATTAATATTCAAGTACTAGTTTCAACATGCCTGAACAACTTTCAATTAATAAATAAAGTCGATTTCATTTGTCCAAAATGGAAATATTACTCTCTAAATTAAAAAACAGAAAAGAGAGTTAATATCATCGAGAAAAATGCAAATTTTTCTCAAGTATTACACCTATGATATACATGATAGTTAATATTTAAGTAGTTTCAACATGCCTGAACAACTTTCAATTAATAAAGAAAGTTGATTTCATTTGACTAAAGTGGTAATATTACGCTCTAAATTAGAAAACAGAAAAGAGAGTTAATATCATCAAGAAAAATGCAATTTTCTTCAAGTACTACACCTACATTTATGAAAATTAATATTCAAGTAGTTTCAACCCGCCTGAACAACTTTCAATTAGTAAAGAAAGTTGATTTAATTTGATCAAAGTGAAGATATTACGCTCTAAATTAGAAAACAAAGAAGAAAGTTAAAATTACCAAGAAAATGTAATTTTCTTCAAGTACTATATCTACATTTATGAAAATTAATATTAGTTTCAATCCTGCAGAAAGTTGATTTTATTTGGCTAAAATGATGAAATTATAACCTGAAGTTAAAAAATAAATGTGAAAGTAAAGAAAATTTAAAAACTTGTGTACTATAAACTGTATAAAATACCTGTAACTTTACAAGTTGAAATACTTATAATATATTATATAAAATGGTAAAAACGTTTTTTTATCGCCATTTTCTTTTTAGTGTGATCTAGTTAAAATAATAATAAAAAAAGATGAATTTTAGAAACCTGTGATTACTAAAATTTTATTGTATTTTCAGTTTTTTTTTTTTCTTTTTCTATCTTAAAATTCAATAAAATTTTAGTAATCACAGATTTCTAAAATTCACCTTTTTTAATTATTATTTTAGCTAGATCACACTAAAAAGAAAAAGGTGATAAATAAAAGTTTCAAATTTTTTTAGAAAAAAAATTGGAGTTTCGTAATAAAATATTATGAGACTCACCATTTTACTTCATCAAAGTAAAAAAAGATTATCTGATCTGATTATCTGATCTAAATTTTTCTGGCATTACAGCTAAGATTCCGCATAGATCGGATTGGATTAAGATTTGTTCTGATTTGAACTGGTGTCCGATCTGATAGGTCTGAATCAGATTATATTAATAAAAAAACTAGTGTACTTTTGGATATAGTGAGTGAGTTTATTTTTAAAAGTATACTTATAAATTAATAAAAGATTTTTTAATAACAATAGATTGTGTTTAGTGAGATTCATAAAAAAATCTGATGAGATTTTTTTTTTAGGATTTTTTTTTAATAACAATATCATATCAGTAATAGTATTAACTGAAGTTAATAATTGTTTTAGTAAGATTTTTTTTATAGTTCACAGTAACATTAATATTACTGATAAGTAATATAAATAAAAGATTTTTTATAACAGTAGATTACATTTAATAAGGTTAATAAAAAAATTTTCCAAGATTTTTTTAATGGTATAGTACAATAGATAGATATAATAAAATTTTCTGAGATTATTTTAATAACAATAGGCATGATAAATTTTTGGTGATTATTTTTTTTTAATAACAATAATAGATTGGTATCATAGTACAATGGATGGTATAGTACAATGGATTGATTTAATAAATTTTTTGTGATTTTTTTCAATAACAATAGATTTGTAATAGACAATAAAAAATGTTGCAAAAACATTGAAAACTGAACTGATAATGAATTGGTAAATCAGATCAGTTTTCAATAATTACTGGTCGCAGTAATAATTGTCTATTACCAATCTATTGTTATTAAAAAAAAATCACCAAAAATTTTATCATACCTATTGTTATTAAAATAAATCTCAGAAAGTTTTATATCTAGTATCTATTGTACTATACCAATTAATTTGTTATA